GAGCTGCAGCTACTGCCTGCTCTGCTCTGTATACTGCCTCTTTCTGTACAGATTCTGGAGCAGAAATACTGCCATCACTCTTAGTCTTCTACTCTCAAACACAGACCCAATGCCAAACTCCAATTACATGCTGTAATAAAGATTTAAAGGCATCAAAACATGACTTGTTTGAACTGTATTTATGCAGCTCTTTTTAAGGCATGATTAGCACTAAAAGCAATTCGTTTGTAAAAGCCACATTCAGTCAAATGTTGTGAGAAATTTCTACAAACTGTTTTTTTCTGTCACACACATGCAAATAATATGCCCACATACATAAGTTGTACTTTAAAGATTTTTTTATTTTGCACATAGATGACACTAAAAATCCTTTATGTAGATTTGTAGTTTTAATTCCTAATAAGACAGTTCTTGTGTTGCTGCAGTTCAGTGTAGACATTTGTGGGCCAGGTCTTTATATTCATAATTTATAATTCCTAATATTCTTTGTAGGAATACATATTGCCTGATTGCCTTTATTGTCAGTGTAAAAATGTGTTATTTTGAATGAACTCTAAATAAAATAAATGTATCGGTAGTCTCATGCAATATAGCCTTATTTATTAATGCAGTATGTGTTGAAGACAGATGTCAAAAGTATTCACATTCATTACTTAATTAGGAGTATAGGTACTAGGGTTTAAAAAGACTAATTTAAAAGCAGAAGTATCAACTTTTTTGAAGTTTTTTAAAAAGGTTTATTCATTTTATTTCGTTTTAAAACAAAACAAATTTAACTTACAAAAATACAAATCAAAAATAAAATGAAAGGCAGCAGAAAAAAGAAAAAATCTTATATCTGTCCCTTTTTAAGAAAAGAAGATAAAATAAACAATACTAACAGTCTTTAAGTAACAAAAGCAAAAAACAAAAACAAAACAAAAACAACAATAACTTTCCTCGAACAAAAAATTTTACGAGTACACATTATATTTTTTTCATATTTCTTCAACAAACCAATTTTAATCATTCTCTTAAACATAAACATTGATCTGGCATTTTTAACAGTACTTTCAAGATTATTCCATAATCTTATTCCCTGAATTGATGTACATCGTTCCTTCAAACTGGTTCGAATTTTAAGTTTCAGAAACATCTCAATCCCCTTAAGATTATAATAGCTCTCTCTTTTATCAAAATATAACTGGATATTTAGAGGTAATATGTTTTTATTAGCCTTACATAACCTGCGAAATACTATAACCAACCAACACATGAAATTTCAATAATTTCAACTGCAAAACAATATATTTGATGCTTGACTATATAAGGTTTTAGAGCTCTTTTCTGTAAAATGAAAATAGGATTTATAATAGTTTTACATGTTTTCCACCAGATTTCAATACAACAAGTTAGGTGTGGAACAATTAATGTGTTATACAACATATACACAACTTAAGTGTTTTTACTGAAGGAAAATTGCAAAAGTACTGGTTTTAATAAAGTATAAGAGCAAAAGGAATGTTAGGGGACTTGACACCTCTGGTTGAGGATGATGCTCAGCTACAATCACAGCAGATTTTAGCTCAGTATCTGTAAGACTCGGTTAAAAGTAATTTTTTGTGTTTGCTAAGAAGATTGCTTTGATGTGGTGGCCATCTTGGATTAAATACAAAAAGTTAATGAGATGTTCAAGCAATATTTAATTTCTGAAAGATTCATTAAAATCAGCTTCATAATTCACGTTCTTTTGCTAACAGTACAGCCAAAAATACTCACTTGCTCCACCTTCAGTGGTGGGTAATTAATGCATGTGTAGTTTTATACATGTGTAGATTAATACATGTGTAGTTTTATACATGTGTAGATTAATACATGTGTAGTTTTATACATGTGTAGTTTAATACATGGCTT